TCTTCTTCTTCTTCTTCTTCTTCTTCTTCTTCTTCTTCTTCTTCTTCTTCTCTGTCTGGCCTCTCAGCCCAGGTAGAGAACTCGTCTCACTGTGAATAATAACATTCTTGTTTCCAGCTCAGCCTTCATCTTTTTATTTAGTTTTTAGTGTTGGTTTTACACGTAATCACGTGAAAATATTCTTAAAAAGTGGGATGAAGTTATACATCTTCGCCACCAGATAGAGCTCTCTGGCTTGATCTGATTTTCTTCCTAAGTTTAGTTTTTTGTTACGGACCACCTGCCACTTTTGATCTGCATGTTTGGAACCAGCTCGAATCACTGGGTTGATACTGAACCACCGTCAAAGCAGCATTGAAACCTGTCACCTCTAGGGGGACTGATGCGTCCAACAGGGGTGGGGGGGAAATAATAATAATAATAAAAAAAAAATGCAGGAGCCTACGAGTATGTATGTTCCTGCTTTTGCTGCCTCATTAGGACTTTGTTTTAGTGTATAATTTCTGACCTTGTCGACATTATTAGTCCTTCACTGGACAGGTTGGAGCGGATATATGCGCTGAGATGAGGGGTAGGGAACGTGTTCGGTTTAATTATACGTACTGTTAAAGTTTTAGTTTGGCTGAATGAATGGGAGTTAATGCAATGTCCAAATAAGGATAGCAGGTTATACGTGTGTGTGTGTGTGTGTGTGTGTGTGTGTGCGAGAGAGAGAAAGGGAGAGAGAGAGAGAGACGGAGAAAGAGAGAGAGAAAGAAAGGGAGAGAGCGACAGAGAGAGAGAGGGAGAGAGCGATAGAGAGAGAGAGACGTCCGGATTGTAATGCTGAGCTCTCACTGGGAAGAGCGAAGACTGTCCCACTAATTTCCCTCCTGCTTCCCAGAGCCCTCTCCATTCGGACGGATCCGCATCTGAAGCGCGTCGCGCCGCCTGAAGCGGAGCTCCACTGCGGCGTTGGAGTTTCTTGTGTATCGGATATATTCTGACATACATGGATATCCCGACGGTGAGTAGCCCACGGGGCTTCTCTCGGTCGTCTCTTCCGTGCGTTGTAAATCTGTCAGAGCTGAAATGCAGTCAGATGATACAGCAGTCGGGAAAAAAAAATGCCAACAGCTGAACTGTACTACAGGCTTTTGGTGTTATAATGGTCTCGGTGGCGTTTAGCAGAGCCAAGACTGTTCTGCAAGAATAAACACAACAATGCTGCTCAGCATACCTACAAAAAAAAAAAGAAAGAAAGAAAGAAAGAAAGAAAGAAAAAGGGACATGTCATTTGTTTACTTTTTCACAGTCTTCGCCGGATTTGTAACAAACGCGTTGCTTGACAGCTTTAGACATGACATTATTCTTGTCCAGTGATGTTTGGAGTCAAAACATGATGAGGGAGAGGCCCGTGCACTCAATTCTGAGCAACCCAGACTCGATTATCAGCATGTAGTGACTGTTCGTCTGCGCATACTGCCAGTGCTGATGGATCCACTTGCAGAATCTTTTACTTTTGATTCAGTTCTCCCCAGTTTGCTCTGCAGTCAGTGCGCTCCGGGCTCACTTCAGCCCATCAGGTCCAACTCTACGTCCACGTGAACAGTGGTAAAGAGAATGAATATATGAGAACACACAGAGCCATCGACTTTCCCCTGTAGGCTACTTGGTGCGTCCTGTTATGTAATGCGCCCCGGTTCGGCCGGCTGCCCGCAGCCAGACCGACAGGGCCTACACGTGTTATTGCCAAACATGTTTTCTAACATCAGGCTCAGCAGTGATGGCAGCAGGACTAATGGGCCGTGTCAAAACCTAAAAAAGGGGATGAAAAAAGCTACAATAACACCCCTTTAAGTTCTTTCGAGAATGCCTGCATACAATCCTAATTTGTAATGCATGCATGCAGGACAGCTGACTCCAATCGGCCCATGTGATGCAGATTCAGCTCATGATATATAGCAGATGTCTGTATGCAGACTACAGAATGTTTTCCGCACGAATCAGAGGACAGTCCTCAAATAAAAACAGCAACAACAACAACAACAACAACAATAACAAGTAAATACCAACATGATGTTCATGTAGTCCAAGAATAGACTAATCGTTGAAGTGGTATATGCTTGGGCAACCTGGAATTCAGTGACCCTATTGTCCTATATATGACAGGGAGTGGATTTGATATGGTGATATGGCTCACTGCCCAGGGTGACATTTTGTCAAAGGGCTGTGCAACACTAAAAAGATTTAAAAAATAGAAGAAAAAAGAATGTTATGGCAGTGAACATGTGGCACTGCACATGCTCAGTATGAGGGATTTCTGCAAAGTTAATGACTCAGTGCAATAAACTGTATACTGTTGCCACATGGTTCATTAAGAGGAGGAGTTGCTGTAAAGTCAGTGACGCAATGCAATCATTTAAGTTTCCTGTAGAAAGAGAACTTTGGACCACTTGGCATAATAAACTCAACTAACTGGTGTACTTATAACTATGCTTGATCTGGATATATATTGATCTATTTGTCTTATAAAGTGCCTTGAGCTGACATTTGTTTAGAATCTTGCAGTATAAATAAACTATGTCCAATAAAAATAATCCATTGAAGGTGGCCGCTCCTCTGTGTTATTACAATGTAAGCACTTTAGGAAGATAAGGCCATATATAACTGGAGGTCAATAAAAGAAAATCCTGAAGGGATAATAAATTAACAGTTTTAATTTGTTTGAAAAAAAAAAACAACAACAACAAACAACAAACAGGACTCTAACATTTTCCACTGAACAACCCATACCACTGTCAGTGACCAATGCTCTAAGGCACAGTACACAGCAAACCTATTAAAACATGTTTTATTCAGAAGCATTGACAATTATGATGAAACCAGCCACAGCTAGAGTTCAGTAATCAGTCTTTATTGGTGCACTTTAGCACAACACATCTAATGAGTGTTGAATATGAGAAATAATGGACATCAACAGTCAAGACTCACCATGTCATTCCAGTTCAGACAGATTTTTGCTGTTTCTGTGTTGTTTTTAAAGTAAAGAGATGAAAAGGGGGCTAGAAATCAACCTGTATGCCTATGACCAGCGGATCCTCTTTTCACACATGACGCAATATGGACTCACCAAGTAAGAATAGCAGCAGGATAATGTGAAAGTGAGTTTGATTTTAGAAACTTATGTTCTATATAAATTTATATTTATATGGATAGACCACGATAAAGTGCACTGAGAAAAAAAAAAGATTGATGCTCTTCATCTTAGTGTGGCTCCTTGTCTAACAGTGACACTTAAGAAATACATCCTAGGCGTCCTACTGCACAGAGGCGCTTCACCTTTCAAAATGAGAGACGCTTGACCCATTTCATCAGTAACCCTGAACATCAGCGCTGTTCAGTTCCATACCTCATTTTGTTCCTCAAGGCCAGCTTGATTTTAAAAGCTGGCATGTGTGCAGGACGAAGCAGGCTTGAGTTGAGTTTTATGAAAGGCCAGAGGCAGCTTAGGCCCCCCCCACAGCTTTATGAAGGAGCTGCTATGTGAAAGAGGTTATACATTCCTATTCAATACTAAATTAAAGTGCTATTTCAATAAAAGTAATCTGGATTACTTTTCACTAGCTCCATGTAAAATAAGAGTGGTCAAACCAGAAGCAGGTATTTATGCACTGAACAGTGATTCTTTTCACATACTTTGAGATTTAATAAACCCCAGAACTGTTTGTGACAGAAAAAGAAAAGGTCATTCCCTTTTTCTGTGTTTGCATCGTGGGGATGGGTTACAGAATGACCCTCATAAACACAAGTAGCTCATTGAACACAGAGAGCTTTTTTTTGTGTAACATCTCCTATAGATAAGAATTTAAATGAGAAAAGATATGGATTTCCAACATATTTAATTACATATGTTATATTTTACTATAAGCGGTAGCTTGTTTTATATGGCATTAGCTAGCTATTCCAAAAGCAAATTGTAGCTTTCACAGCTTATTTCCAGCTTACTCTAGAACAGTTTTACTTCTAATAAGATGTTTATGATGCTTTCTCCTCGTGAGAAAAATGCAGTGTTAGTTATTGTGTGCTTGTGTGAAGCACTGCTCTCCCCAAATCCCACACTAATGTTGACGAATGTACTTTCCCATCACTCATATGTATTTCAAAGTCAGAATTTGAACCAGCTGTGCATTTTATGCAACTCTCAATAGATTGTTTTCCTGTTGTGGTTGAATAACTCATATTCAGGACTGGTGGAGATTATGCATCTCTTTAAGTGCCTTTTTATATGTGCTTTTCTCATCAATTAGTGTCAGCTTATCGAACATAGCAGAGATTTGTTTACTAGGTTTGGAGGTTTGCAGTGTCGTGTCCTTGACACATGCCGCTGTAGCTAGCCGTTAGAGGTCAAAGGAAGGGGAGGAATTGGACAATTTAATCTCCATTGAAGACTTCTCTATCTTTGATGATGTCCAGTCACTGGGTCTTTGTTGTCAAATGAAGCACACCCATCCTTAGCCACAGATGTTAGGGTAGAGTACAGTGATAAAGTGAAAGCAGAACGCAGTCTGTCTTTGTGATCCAAAAGTCCCCAGCGGCAAGTCCAGAAAAACAATCCCTGTAAAAGAGTCGTTGAAATAGTTCTGTGTTCTGCTTTGTGGTCTGATGACAAAATGCCGTGATGGGCAACACAAGGACATTTTGCTGTCAACAACAAATACTTTTTTGTGCTAACAGAACAGCAACATATTTTGTCTGCCTGTTAGAAGCAGCTAATGTGGAAAACATTAAAAAGCCAGATGACAACTGGCTCATCGACTCTCGAGTCAGAGTGACCTAAAGATGCGCACACAGACCCACAAACTTACCAGTCACTATGACAAACTTCTTGCTGTACCAACATGTATTCAGGATAACTGTGTCTTTAGAAATGCCCTAATTCCCCTTGGCAAATATTCAGTAAGGTATGAAATATTCCTCAGAAATGTTGGTCCATACTGACATGATTGTATCATGTAATTGCTTCAAATCCATCATCTGAATCTCTTTGCAACTCATACCAAAAGTGTCCTATTGTACATCCGGAGACTGCTGATGTCATTGAAGTACAGTGAACTTATTGTGGTGTTTGAGAAACCAATCTGAGAGGTTAGACATGGCGCATTATCCGTCAGAAGACGGGTACACTGTGGTCATCAGGGGACAGACATGGTCAGCAACAAAACTCAGGTCGGCTGGACCGTTTATGAAATGTCCAATAAGAGGCCCAAAGTCTTCCAAGAAAATATCCACAGTGAATCTACCACTACCACTCTGAATTGTTGAAAAAAGTCAAATGGTTACAAGATTGGAAAATTGCAGCTGGAATCAAGACTCACGCTGTTTATCCTAACTCCTATTTAATGCTCATCGACATAAAATGTTCTTTGCGTGTGTGTTTTCTTTCCTTTTAGGTGATAAAAATAAGTGTGAGAAGTTGAATCTGAAGCGAAATAAAAAAGAGAGCGACTTCAACTCACCCAAACCTCCGATGCCTCTGGCGACTCTGAGCTCATGTTGTGTCCTTGCTGGGATAAACAAGTGGCCTGGCCAAAGAGCACAGTGTTTCTACACACATTAAAGCCCACACAGGTGAGAGGTTCCTCAATTTTATACAGCTTAAATATTCTCCAGGAGCTACTGTGGCTCAGTTGGTAGAGTAGTCTGTATGCAATTGAGATTGTGGATCGATCCTATCTTCCTTGTCCAATGTGTTGATGTGCCTCTTGGCAAGACCCACAGAGCTGTATCAATGTATGAATGTTGATATGTTTCCTAGAGTGACTGGGGGAATGGGACTCTAGTGTAAAGCTCTCTGAGTGGTCAGTATGACTAGCAAATTCAGTAAATTTACCTGGTTGTCTCTTGGTTTTTGGCAGGATGTCGTGGGCCAGAAGCCTCTTCGTAGGCAGAGTGGATGACCAAAAGACGGAATGGGGAGAGCGCAATGGCAAGAAGAGGAAGGACAGCTCGTCACTATGCAACCCACGTTACATGAGCTGCCTGAGGGACTCAGAGGACTCAGAAGTCCCTAATGTTTCCTCCCAGTATTACCACTGTGAAGCAGGTGCAAGTGGGGGAAACTTTGGCCTGCGGTGTGGCTGGCAGGAGGACCACTATGGGAAAAGGGTGGTTGGTGTTGGAAATCCCTGCGTGGAGGATGGTGAGCTGAAGGACAAACCAGAAGAGGAAGCAGGGGAATTACCAGGGAGAAGGTGTAAGAAGATGACTGCTGCAGACTGCTGGAGATGGCTTATGTGGGTTTTTCAATCCAAAAAATTTCAGTCTGCCAAGCTGGAACGCCTGTACCAGCGCTATTTCTTCAGACTCAACCAGAGCTCCCTCACTATGTTAATGGGGATGCTGGTGGTCGTGTGCGGAGTCATGATTGCCTTCCACTGTGTCCACGCTGAACTTAATGTGGCCTACATCGTAGTGCTGTCAGTGGCCACGACTCTCTTTCTGGTCATGATGGTCGTGTGCAACCGCAACGGCTTCCATCAAGACTACATGTGGATTGTGAGCTACCTGGTGATCGGGGTCCTGCTAGTCCTGCAGGTTTCCGGGATGCTGACGGTGTCCCCCCGCAGTGCCTCAGAGGGGATTTGGTGGACGGTCTTCTTCGTCTATATTACCTACACTCTGTTGCCTGTCAGAATGAGAGCTGCTGTGCTTAGTGGGACTGTGCTGTCCACTGTTCATGTTCTCATTGCCTGGCACGTCAACCACCAGGACAAGTTCATTCTCAAACAGGTAAGCGAGAGCAGATCTGTGATAGTTTTAGAGCATATATTTTCATATTATGACCAAAAAAACAGAGGATTTGTGTCACTTTTTTGCGTCACATTTTTTAATGTAACAGGACAAGAGTATATGTTTCATATTTTATTTAAACCACAGATTAACTGCTTTGAGAAATTATGATGCCCACATCCCTCTGCCTCAATGAGTTCTTATTTTATTTCATTGTATTTTATTTATTTTAATGTTTGATTCATATTTAAGCCTTCCTAGGATTAGATTAATTAACCCTTTAACTGCCACCCTCAAAATACTTACATGTAAACTTGGTTGAGCTTTACATTAAATGTGAGATTTCCAAAGACCTGCCAGGATTTCCAAACTTAACATATCACAATATAGCTCAAATTGAGCTCTTCAATAGTATAAACCAGAGCATTTCACTGTATTATGTTTAGCAAACGAGCATAAAATCACTCGATTTCTCGGTGCGTCTCTTAACCACTGACTGCATTGCATGATGTGACTAAATAATACCATAGCACAGAAAAACCACATTGTTTAGTGACATTTGTATTTTTAATTTGGTATGAGATCCTTATGGTTACAACAACAACAAAAAAGAAATCTTATTTCAAATGACATCCCTTGTGTGATGGTAAATTTGTAAGAAGCGAAAAGGAAAACATTCCCAACATGCTTGTCACCATACAGTTGAATACAATGTTGTCACTGTGGTGAGCAGTAGAAATGGCCTACTTTCTTGCCTTGACACAAAAGGACAAATGTTGTACTAACTCCTCAACCACTTTTCTGTGTCAAAGGTGCCATACTAAAAGTAGAAAGTTCTCTAGATCTCCGCAGCTTTTCAAATTAGGTTTTTAATGAGCCCGTGTTTTGTGCTGTGGGGCAGCTACAAGCAGCTCTTTGGGATTTGTGGAAGGTCATCTGGGTTGAATGAGCCCGTTTAACTGCATTGTCAAGGAGTATCATGATAATGTAGCATGGTGCCATTCATCCCGAATTCCCCTAAAACAAGGAGTCTATTGTAGTTAAATGAAACAGGGTGGGGTGGGATGCTGGGATTGTGCAATTCATTTTATGGAAAACAGGATCATTACTTCTTCACTTTGGAGCCAGTTTGTAATCACTTCATCTGGAAGCTCACTGGAAACATTTCTTGCACATTTTATATTTGTTTTTGTGTCTTTAGTCCTTTTGCTCCCATGTAATCTTTTCATAAAGTAGACGTTTGCCGTTGTAAAGTTGTTTTTGGTTTTAAAAGCTCATATTATCTCCACAGGCGATTGGCTAACAATCACTATTCTCACCAGTTTGTTCGAAATACTTTTCCCAGATTAGCCACCATGCCATAAGCACAAAATGCACGAGTTTGGTCCATTTAATATCCAAAAATTTTGATATGTCATATTTGCAGTTGTAAATTTATTCCACTAATATTAAAATCATCTTGGAGTTTGAGCCAGCATGTTTTTATGTAATATCAGTTTTTAAAGTGTCAAGTGCTATCTTGGTTAGATTGTTTATATGCAGGTCAGAACCAATTTTAAGGATATTAGTAAGACAACTACTTACTAGCTGGGAAGCAAATTCAGTTTATTAGTAATATCCTGTGTATTTTCCTTGCCATTTTGTAGGCTGCTATAATTGATACCAAAGTTCACTTTATGTGTGAGCATGAAATGGAAAATTCCTTCATCTTCAGGTGATATGCACACATGTTGGAGGGTTGTAGGAGTTAGAGAAAATTTTTTTGCATAGGAAAATTTAATCTCAAGCAAAATCAGCTGCAAGATTCCTAAATTGAGAAGTTGCATTCATTTTTTTGTTTGTTTGTTTTTGTTGTTTTGGTCGTTAAGCAATCAGGGAAAAAAAGAGAGTCTGAAAAAAGGTAATATGGACATAACTCCACAGGTCGTCTGTGTTTGTATGCTTCTGCCACAGTCTGAACAGGATGGGGAGCGGCTCAATGGTTTGATGCCGATGTCTACTTTGGCCCTGGCTGGCTGCACAGATCTGTTGTTGATAGACTGTTTGAGATCTGGACTTTCACCACACAACGTTTCATGTTGTTTGAACAATCAGTAAGAGGACGAGCGTCTCTAACAGTCAGACAGTGAATTTGGTACAATGTTTCCATGGCTTACACCAAAACACTGTTTGTTGTTTTCCATTGTGCTGTTGCAAGAAGAAAAATGGCGGTGCCTTAATAACAATTTGCCGTCCTGTCAGTTTGAAGAGTTATTCTGTGGCAATCTCAAGAGCAATTACCTTATTTTCCAAACTATAGAGCGCACCTCACTATAAGTCACACTTACAAATTTCTTGGAAAAAAAACAAACAAACAAACAAACACAAAAAAAACTGGAAACGTACATATATAAGCCGCACTGGGCTATAAGCTGCTGGTATCTCCGCCGCTCTCGGTTTTCCACCTCGATATCCTTCAACTTAAAAGCTGCATCATATGAGTTTAAAGAAATTTCTCCGCCGTACCTGCTGTTAGCATGTGCTTGTTCTAAATGAAAATTAGCGCTTCCTTATTTGATTTCCAGTCTTGACTTCCAATGATTCACTTCCTGCTAAAGCACCCCCTGGTGGTTGAAGAAAAATCCACAGAAAAGCCGCACCGGGTTACAAGCCGCATGGCTCAAAGCGTGGGAAAAAAGTAGCGGCTTATAGTTCGAAAAATACGGTACTAGTTTTACTTTAGTGCTTCAAATCTAACAGCAACAGTCTCACGTTACGTTCCCCAGATCATAGAGCCTGAAGAGAGTTTTACTACACAAAATGAATGTTTTATCTCAGTATTCCTGAAAACAGATGCTCCAATGCCACTATGTGAATTTTATTTTATAAGTGGTGCTGGAAAACACAAGTTAAAACAAAATAATTTAAACTACTTGGAAAAATTAAAGAACTGAGTCAGGAATTTAGTTTATGGATTTGGAGGAAAATGTTGGCTGTCAGCGCAGCTCTTTATTTTAACATGACAGGTGATGCTAAAATAAACAGACAGCAAGAAGGGACAGTGAAGCTACTACAAGTGGAGCAGTGGATCCTGTTTGTTAGAAGATGGACCAGATAGTAATGTTTTTTTTTTTTGTTTTTCCATCCATGTGCATCATCAATACAATTGAGACACATCTAGCTGAACAGGAACACACTAAACCTAAGGACTGCGACAGGTGGTGGGAATATGGAAATCACATTATTTTTGAGGTGGAGCTCAATTAAAAATTTAAATTCAGAAATATCTTACCTGTGGTAGATAACTGCTGTATTAGTCCACATGACGTGGTCCAAAGGCTAAAGCTAATGCAAGAAAGCTACCAACACAAAATAGACTTTTACTGTTTCGAAACAATCTTTACCTTAAAACATGTCACGGAGGTTTATGCAATCCTTATTTTGGACCTTTAAACTATTATCATGTTTGCACTGGATGGGTATTTGCACAGAAACTGTTGAGTATTTACAGAGGAAATAAGAAGTGGAAACACATGAGGCATTTATGCAGAACATAGCCGGAAAATTAAGGCAGTCTAAAACTTGGTAAAAGTTCAACTAAACTGCCATAACATTTTACCGTTTTACGTTTACGTCAGACACTTTAAATATTCTTTTCTAAGTGTGCGGCACGCTTAGAACTGGAAAGGTTTTGAACGCAACTAACCTTCCAGTGTAAAACAGCGAATGGTTAAATCACGTTCACATAAACATCTGGGACGTGTTTTAGACTGGAGCTGTTTAAGTCAGCTGCAGCCTTTGCGACAAGCTATTCTGGACTGGATCATTTAAACAAAATGAAGGCTCATTGACAGCCAGTAGCAGTAGCAGAAAGTCCAAATCATGAAACAAAAAAGCAGGTACTTGAGCAACAAGAAGGCACTGGCAGAAAATGATGACAAAGCACCTTCGAGAACAAAGGAACCTGTGGAGTAAATTTAATGAAAAGGCAGATGGTGGCAATCAGGTGACCCAGTCCAGGTGACAAACAAGTCTGAGTTTTTACCTAATAGCTGAAAGACGCTTCAAAGAAAATAAGAACAACCGAACCAGTTTCCCATAAAAGGGGGTCTTTGTGTTGCTCTTCTTCTGGTTCGTCGTCCCTCATGAGCCGGCCCGTTCTGCCGTTTGTCGTTTTCCTGCAGAGATATTCATACAGGATCAGATCAGTGGAGATGAGAAATGGACGACGCGGAGAACAAAAGAAGTCTTTGTGAGGGACCTCCACCACGGAGAAGGGGAGGTGGTTGTTGGGGACGGGGGTTTTGGGCTTCAACGGTGGTGACAAGTGGAAAACCATTGATGTCGATGGTGAATAAAATGAACGGCTGACTCACCCTTCTGTCAAAGACCCACCAGTCTCTTCTCTGAGTCATATTTCCATTTTCACAAAACCCCTCTCACATGGAGTGGCCTTTTTCTTTCACAACAGGGAGAGATTGAGCTCGTGCTACTCGTGGGGATTGCTTCCATTGATCCCGGCTTTTCAGCACTCTGCACCGCTCCGCTTTCCTCCGCTCTGTAGGGTCTCTTCAGATAACTGCGGAGGGATGAATGTGGAGCAGCTCTCAGGAACATGGACGCAACGCTGCTGCCGTTCACTAAAAGTTTCTCCAGAACCCTACGGGGGAACGCTTTAATCGCTCTTAATAGAGTCGTCGCCTGTAATGATGTAAGAGGAGAAATCTGCCAGGCTCTGCGTGGCTTCCTCTCGGAAAACAGCTGTGTCAGTTTTAGCATTATTCATTTGCACAACACATCCGGATGAATTATATAAATTACACCATTACTTTTCCAACACATTAAGTTGGATCCATCTATCATTGATTGAGTATTGATGGATGCAGCTTGTTTCATGCCTGCGGATTGTGCAGATCCACCTCCAGATGTTTATTCATGGAGATCGCTTTGGTTACAGCTCTGAAGGCTTCACGGCTTCGTGTTTTCACCACTCCCTTGTCTTCTGTTTTCTTTTTCCAGCT